TTTCTTTTGCTTTTGAAGGAGAGGAGCGAACTGGGGGGCAGGGGGAGAGGACTAGGCGGGTAGAGAAGTGCAGCAATGAATAAATGGAAGACCAAGGTCTCTGTAAATGTTCATTGAAATTATTTTTTTTTAAAAAAAGTAGTTGTAGGTGGGCACCATGCAGTACTTCCAGTTTCAGAGTCCTGAAACTTGAGTTCTTGAGGTCCCATTAGTCTTTTGGACTAGCAGTCTGTGTTTCTTCATGTTTCTTTGCTCCTGATAGAGAACAATAGTTAATACTTGTATACATTATGTATACAAGTTAATTACATACTTTCAGCTGTTTTCTGGAGGTGACCGTTAGCTTACTTATCTCTGAAAAATGGAATAACATCACCTTCACCTCACTGTTCACTTATTAGATATAACTTTGGTTTCTTTTACTTACTGTTAGTTTTTAGAAGTTGCTTTTGTCTAGCCAGAACTGTCTGCTAACCCTCCAGTGGGTTTTTTGGACACTGTCCCTCTTTTTTTGATTGAATAACTGAGCATCTTTGGTTTGACAGTGTGGTTCCTTTTCCACTAAACCACCAGAATTCCCTAGTGATTGCTCTAGGGTTTATAATGAAATGGAAACAAAATCAAACCCCACTGATACTGAGTTCTGACTTAATGACGCTGTAGGTTTGAGCCTTTACGTCTGGGTTCCTAGCTGAGCACTTTAACCACTGCACCGTTATGGGCTCCTTAGAGTTTCCTTTAGACAGTTTGTGACATCTTACAGTCTTCACGTAATTTGACCTCTTATATAGAACAGGAGCTGTACGCAAAACACATTCCTCCCTATTACATCCTTTGCATAGTCAGTGAAACACAGACATTTGTTTGGTACTCTCGGCTTTCAGCCAAGATCCATCTGACATTGGCTACGATATCCCTCGTACTACGGGCTCTGCTCTTTGCAATTACTTGTGACGTGTCAGAAAGCTGGGCAGTGAAAAAGGATGACAAAAGAAGAATTGATGCCTTTGATTTGTGGTGATGGAGAAGAGTATTGCACTTAGACTGGCAAAAGAACAAACAGGTCTGTCAAGGAGAAGGTGAAGCCAAGTTGCTCTGTGGAGGCTAGAATTTGGAAGCTCTGTCTCATGTACTTTAGGCATGTTGCTTGAAGGGACCAGTCCTTGGAGAAGAACATCATACTTGGGAGAATGAAGGGACAGTGCAAGAGAGGAAGACTCAGGATGAGATGGATTGACACAGTGACTGAGATAGTGAGGGGTAGGTCTGTTGGAGACAGTGAGTCTGGCTTAGGATAGGGCAGAGTCCATAGCTGTTGTATGTAGGGTCTCTGTGACTTGCAGTTGACTTGACAACATACAACAACAACAACATCATCCTTTGTGTTATTTTGTTGTACATTATACTTCTAGAACAAATCCATAGCATTCAGCACAGTATCTGGGAGCAGTGAATAACAACTCGGTGCTGCAGTGGCCAAGTATGAAAATTGAGTGGTTCATGCTCCAGGTTGATGCTATAAGATATTTTAATGAAGGATTGTTAAAAAGTTACTACTTGGTTTTAGAATTCCTTTTCCTTCGAGGTACGTTCTTTTGAGTTCTAGTCATTGGTGTATATTAAGCTTCTTATGTAAGGCATTTGTTTTGTTTATTTGATCTAAAATGATATATAGGAGTTAATAATCTCATGTGTATTATCTTCTGCTTAAGAAATAAGACCATTCTCTTACTTTTGGGGTTTATTTTGTAGTTATTCTAAAAATTAAAAGCTTTTCCAGTATTAGGGAAATTTAAACACTTAAGAAAGGTCGAGACTGCTACTGTGAAAGTAGGAGGGTGACTAGGGGGTGGGAGGGTGGGGAGAGCAGAAATAGATTGTTCAGACGATGAACACTGTAAAGGGCCAGGCCAAGGGAGGATCAACCTGGAAAGAATAGATGTAAGGACAATAGGCTTTTGGAGTTAGCAAATAGGAACAGTATATGTCTTAAGTGTTCAGAAGGGGAGAGGATGGAAGAAGACAAAGGGGGGATAATCACTAGAACAACAGAGATTAATGGACAGATAGAGCATGATGGAATAGGCAAGGTGCAGTGGGGACTTGATGAGAAGGGGTGGTAAAAGTAAGTTTGTTGTTGTTATGTGCCCTCGAGTTGCTTGCAACAGCCCTAAAGTCCGCTCTGTCCTGTGCCAATCGCACTGTCTCCGACACACCCATCCCAATTATCCCAGTCACTGAATCAATCCACCTCATAGAGGGCCTTCCCCTCCTGCACTGTCCCTCCACCCTCCCTTCTCCAAGGACCGGTCTCTCCTCACAACATGTCCAAAGTATGTTAGATGGAGCCTCAGAATCCTTGCCTCCAAGGAGCCACCTGGTTTAACCCTTTCCAGTACAAATCAGTTTGTTTTCCTAGCAGTCCATGGTATCCTCAATATTCTTCTCCAGCACCACAGCTCAAAGGCATCGATTCTCCCTCTATCCTCCTTGGTCATTGTCTAACTCACTGATGCATAACAAGTGATTGCGAAGACCATGGCCTGTATCAGATGCACCTTAGTCTCCAGAGAGACACCATTGCTCTTCAGCACTTTGGAGAGGTCCCTAACAGCAGACTTTCCCATGGCAATGCGCCTTTTAATTTCCTGGCTGCTGGTGCCAAGACTGTTGACTATGGAGCCAAGCAAACTAAAGTTGTGTACAATCTCAATCTCTTCACCATCCATCCTGATGCTACCAATTGGCCCAGTGGTGAGAATCTTTGTCTTCTTGACATTGAGCCTCAATCCATATTGTAGGCTGCAGTCCTTGACCCTCTGCAGCAGGTGCTTCAGGTCCTCTTCAGTTTCAGCAAGCAGGATCGTGTCATCTGCATAACGCAGATTGTTGATACGTCGTCCACCAATCTTGACCCCACATTTCTCCTTAAAGAGCCTAGCCTCCCGGATAATCTGTTCTGCATATAGGTTGAAAAGGTATGGAGATAGGATGCATCCCTGGTGTACGCCCTTCCCAATTTTGAACCATGCAGTGTTCCCTTGCTCTCATCTTCCCAGGTAAAAATAAGTTAGGGTGATTATAATAATAACTAATTACATAAAACACAATGTGCAAATGCATAATTGTAGTAAAACTCAATGCCCATGAATGATTTTATTATAAATGAGTTCTATGCAAACCAATGAAGCAAATAAAAATGTTGGGAGGGGAAGTGTTAATGAGATTAGATAGGTATGGCAAATTGCTATTCTAAAATAAATTTTTTTTGTGTGATAGTCTGAAATCTCATGAAGGTACTAGTATTTACTTTTTAGATACTCATATTGAATTTGTAAGTAAATATTTAAACTAATTTTTTTAAAAAAGACTGCAATTATGGGAAATATTTTAGGACATGAACCTTGACTGAATTACTAAAATAATGAAATTGATTTACTGTTTCTCTCCCCCTCCCCCGCCTTCCCCACCCACAGGTGTTTTGTGGAATCACTTTTCGCTGATTATAAACAGCTGCAGTAAATATGGCTACTTTCCAGACTTTCCGAAAGAGTCATGTGAAGACTAGACCATCCATTAGGAAAGTAAGTTCACTGTGTTGTTTCTTTTAGTGTTTCTTCTAATAAACAAGTTGACTGTTAAATCCTGTTAACCAGCTCTGATATTCTTTTTAAGTGAATCTTAGTTGTTTAAATCAGAAACAGTATTAAATTATTGTAAGATTCACATGCCTAAAGATAATAAAGGCAACATTATTTCTTGAGGCTACCGCAATTCCCATTTCTTTTCAATACATAGTACTAGTATTTCCTTGTAAATTACTGACTTGATTCCAAACTATTACCATTTGTTTATTCATTCAACAAATATGAATTTGTTGCTTATCATTATGCCAGACACCAAACTGATACTAAAGAAAAAAAAAATTATTGCTGATATCTAATGGATTTTGACTCAAAGCAGAAAATAATAAAAAAATACTTGCTTATATTTTATTGTCTGTGCAAAGGCATACACCCAGCTCTGTGAATGTTATGGTAACATTGGGAAGAATTGAAATTTCAGAGCACTTAATTGTGCTTATGTGGAACCTGTACCTGAACCAAGAAACAGTCATTCAGATATAACAAGGGGATATTGCATGTTTGTATACTTGTTGCTGTATAGCCACTTGTGGGTAAATGAAATGTTTCCTTTCTTGTTTGAAGAATAAAATACTTTACTCTGTTTTAAGGCATTTTGGTTCTGCTTCCATTTCTTGATACCTTTCTCTTCATACACCTTGTTCTAAAAGTCTCTCCTATGAGCTCCCAATCTTGCTTTACTAGAGCAATAATCTTGATTTCTCTTCTCATCCAGGCCAAATTAATCAGTTTTTCCATTGTTGCCACTGTTAGGCACATGGTTATAGCACTTGTCTCACTATGTTGTGCTATTTGAATCCAGTTCTCTAATAGAATGTGAACTCTTGCAGAGCAGAAACTGAATGATTAGTCTGTTTATCTGCTGTTTGGTGCTTAGCATCAGGCATTGAATGATTATTCTTATTCTTCCATGGCTTTTTCTTCTTTCCTCACTGTTGTTGTTGTTAGTTGCTGTCAAGTCATCTACACCTCATAGTGACCATGGGAACATATCTGAACCATGCTCTGTCCTGCACCATCCTTATGATATGAGTCAGGCTCAAGCCTGTGTGGTAGTCACTGTGTCAAGCCATCTTTCTCAGGATCTTCCTTTTACTCTACCTTTCCTAGCGTGATGTCTTTCTCCAAGGACTAGTTCCTCCTGAAAATAGATCCAAAGTAAGTGAAAACAAACTTTGACCATCCTTTCCTCTAAAGGGCACTCTGGCTACATTTCTTTCAAGACACATGTATTTGTTCTTTTGATATTTGGTGATATTTCAGTACTATGTGCCAGCACCACAATTCTTTCCTCACTAGTCTCTCAAATTTTTACCTTTCACGTTTCCTAGACTTCATTTACCTTCAAATTAACTTGTATTTCTTTTTTAATTTAAAACAACAGCAGCAAAAAAACCTTAAAAAAATTAAAACACGTTTTTGGTTCTATCATTATGAGTTCGGGAGCTGACCCGCTAACCCAAAGGCTGCACCTGTCTGGTGATTCACATCCACCGGTGATTCCATGGGAGAAAGATGGCGGTCTTTGATATCTTCTGTCACAGCATTTTTCTTGCCTTCCTTCTCTCTCTATGATAACTGCTATCCCGTTTCATTTCCAGCCCATGATCGTTAGTGTTCTGGTAGACTCCCAGGCTACTTTTTCATCTAACCACTTATTTCTGCAAAGTGCTAAAAAAACCCACGATTTGACTAACTCTTAAGATTACAGGGTGTAAAGAATTAAAAAAAAAAGATTACAGAGTGTCTGGGAATTTGGAAGATAAAGTTATTTTTTCAAATATTTGTTAATTAAAGTTTTAAGTAATATACAGACAGTTTGTTCTCAGAGTCAGCCACAGTTTGTTATGATCCACGCAGTCAAATGCCTTTGCATAATCAATGAAACACAGATAGACATTCTTCTGGTATTCTCTGCTTTCAGCTAAGATCCATCTCACATCAGCTACAATATCCCTAGTACCACGACCCCTTCTAAACCCAGCCTGGACTTCTGGCAGTTCTCTGCTGATGTACTGTTCCAGTTGCTTTTGGATAATCTTCAGTAGAATCTTGCTTGCATGTAAAATCAATGATATTGTTCTGTAGTTTCCACACTCAGTTGGGTCGCTCTTCTTTGGGATGGGAACAAATATTGACCTCTTCCAGTCAGTTGGCCAAGTGGTTGTTAATTTAATCGTGCTAATGCGAAACCTATACTTGGACCAAGAGGCAGTCATCAGAATAGAACAGGGCAACACTGCATGGTTCAAAATTGGGAAGGGTGTACGTCAGGGATGTGTCCTGACTCTATACCTTTTCAACCTGTATGCAGAGCAGATTATCCGAGAGGCGGGGCTCTATGAGGAGTGGCATGGCCTTAGGATTGGTGGACGATCTATCAACAATCTGCGTTATGCAGATGACACAACCTTGCTCGCTGAAACTGAGGAGGACCTCATGCACTTACTGCAGAGGGTCAAGGACTGTAGCCTTCAATATGGACTGAGGCTCAATGTCAAGAAGACAAAAATTCTCACCACCGGACCAATCGGTAGCATCAGGATGGATGGCGAAGAGATTGAGATTGTTCACAGCTTTAGTTTGCTCGGCTCCACGGTCAACACTCTTGGCATCAGTACCCAGGAAATCAAAAAATGTATTGTGATGGGAAAGTCTGCGGTTAGGGACCTCTCCAAAATACTCAAGAGCAACAGCGTTTCTCTGGAGACTAAGGTGCGCCTGATACAGGCCATGGTTTTTGCAATCACTTGTTATGCATCAGAGAGTTGGACAATGACTAGGGAGGATAGAAGGAGAATTGACGCCTTTGAGCTGTGGTGCTGGAGAAGAGTATTGAATGTACCATGGACTGCCAAGAAAACAAACAGATTCATCGTAGAGAGGATTAAACCAGGCTGCTCCTTGGAGGCAAGGATTCTGGGGCTTCGTCTGACATACTTTGGACATGTTGTAAGGAGAGACAGGTCTTTAGAGAGGGACATCATGCTAGGTAGAGTAGAGGGACAGCGCCGGAGGGGAAGACCCTCTATGAGGTGGATTGATTCAGTGACTGGGGTACTTGGGATGGGTGTGTCAGAGGCAATGAGATTGGCACAGGATAGAGCACGGTTTAGGGCTGTTGTACATGGGGTTGCTATGAGTCGCAAACGACTCGACGGCACATAACAGCAACAACAAATATACAGACATTGTTTTCAGGCTAACTGCCTATGCCTTTAATAGATCTGCATTGAAAAAATAAGTAAAATGAATCTTTGTGTTTCTGCTTTTCAGAAATGGTAGGCTTTTATTCTTTTTGTAAATTAATGGTTAGGCCCCTAGGTTTAATTTGGTAATGAAATTTGACTACCTGCTTTAAAAAATGATTGTAACTTGAGTAATTTAAATAATTGTAACTCCATGTGCGCACACATATGGAATAAGTGTGAGTTGATTTCCAAGCATAATGCTATCTACCAGTTTGACTTGAATTTACCAACATACTGCCTGAGATTAAACAATTAGGTGACAGTTGAAATTTCTTACTATTTACTTTGAGCTCTTTCCATATTATATTCTCAGTAAAGATTTAGAAGCCCTGTTGGATAAAAGTATGTGAATCCAAATATAATGTATTGTTTTTATATGTGTGTGTGTGTGTGTGTGTGTATATAAAATAGGGACACCCATATGTATTACTTTGGATGAGCTTTTTGAAAATAGGTATATTTAAATTCTCTGTTTTCTACTTTACATGGATATTTATGAGGAATTAATTGTTAGGAAAATTGCAAGTGACCATAGTTTCTTCCTTATGTCTGATATTTTATAATGAAAATTTTCAAGTGTTTAGGAAACCTAAAAGCATAGTACATTTGCATATCTCCAACCTATTTTCAGCAGTTACTAGTGTTTTGTCTTACTTGCTTTGTATGTGTTCACTTTTTGGCTCACCCTTTGGAAAGTTATAGTTACAATGTGTATTTATTTCAGAACTATTCATCATGGTTCTTCCAGTGAACATCCTGTCACATAATAATACCATTATATCTAAGAAAATTCCATTCTACTGCTCTGATACTTAACACCCAACTCTAATACTTCTCTATCCTTTATTATGCTGAAAATAGCTTATATTACTCCCTGCCACATGCAGTCCTTTCTTTTTTGAGATCCTATCTAAGCTTTAGACCCATCATTGCATTTGGTATAGGACTTAACAGTTTTAGTTTGAAACAATCTCCCTCTTCTTTTTTTTCCAATTCATTTTTAAATTAAAGGTTGATTTCTTGAATAGACTAGCCTTCAGTTTCTTATCTGATATTCACAATTTGGATTTATCAGATTGTTTTCTAATGGTGCTATTTAATGTGTTGTTCTCTTTTCTATATTTTGTAGAAATTGAAAGTTAAGTGTTTGATTGAATTCACATTAAACATTTAGGTAAGATTGTTTACAGAATGACTTGAGGATAGAATTCCAGGTTTTCATACTATCAGTGATCCTAAATTGATCAATTGACTAAGGTAGTAACCCTGCTTGAGTACATTATTGTAAAAGTGCATTTTCTTTTTTTTTAGTCGGTAAATAATCCATAGCATGATAATTTATGACAATAGTGCCTGCACTCTGTTTTTTTCCAGCAGTCTTTTACCTTGTGCTTTTAATGTCCCTCAGTGACCCTTGCTTAAATCCATTATTTCATGGGATTTGCAAAATGGTGATTTTTCCTGGTTCTTCTATCCTTTTATATTTATTAGCTGGCATTTAAAAGCTTTCCCTCATTAACCTTGGATGAACTACACTGTCTCCTAAAGTAGAATAAATTCCCTGTAATTAGGAATTTTCAGATTAATGATGTGGCAAATGAGTTTATTTCTTCTCTTCCCTTCCTTCAGTCCTTTACTGATTCATTTACTTTTGAGAGTCTGACATATTTGGAAAATTTTTGTTTACTGTAATTTATTTATTTACCATCATTCATTTATTTCCTATCACCTTAAGTTTATATATATTTTTTTCATTGCTGCTTTGCTTTTTGGTACTACAGGATAACCTAATTTCACCTTCTACTTTCTCTTCCTCACCTGGAAAGAACTCCAGATAGTATTTAGCATCCAAGATCTGAGTAGCAGGAGTGCTCTTTGCCCCAACAGTGTCGTGAAGTTTATATTGATAGTTCTTGTTCATATTTCACATTTCATATTTTTTCCTTTATATTTATTTGTGATTTAGACAGAAAACCGTCATTCATTTGTTAAATAAAATAAAAACAGAATGTTTTCAAGATTACAGGAAGTTGGAAAAATTAAAAAAACAATATAAAGAACACCCCAAATAACTCTGCACTTACACTCAACTTTAACATCCATCTTTCTCTCTTTCTCTCTCTATTTGTTTACACACACACACACACACACACACCCCACACCCCTTATATGTATGTACTGTGATGCTGGAGAAGAGTACTGACTATATCATGGACTACGAAAAGAACAGATAGGTATTGGGAAAGTGCAGCCAGAGTGCTGCTTGGAGGCAAAGATGGCAAAGCTTCATCTTTCATACTTTGGACATGTATCTGTGCTAGGCTGTTCTTTGGAAAAAGACAACATGCTTGGAAAGATGGAGGGTCAGCAAAGGAGAGAAAGACATGCAATCAAATGAATTGACATAGTGACTTCAACAATGGGTCTTAGTGTGTCAGAGGTGATTAAGATGGCACAGCATAGGCTTGGCTATTCATAGGGTCACTATGAGTTGTACTTGATGACACTTAATGACATACATTGTTGTTGTTAAGTGCTGTTGAGTCGAGCACAAGCATGAACAAAGGATTTGAACCCTGTTCTATAACTTTTGTTGTTTTTCTAATGTACATAGAGTTTCCACAGGCATGTTGTTTAGGAAATGGATGCCAGTGCTGCTTTCAAGTGTGTCTTAATCTGGGAGCTCCACCAAACACTCTCCAACATGAGTAACCATTATGACATTTGAAACACAAGTGGCGCAGAGTTCAACATCGCAACCCCAAGTTACCTTACTACAGCAAACTGACAGACCAGTGCTGTACCATGCAGAAGAATGTTCCTACCAAACACAATTAACACCAACAGACTTTTAAATACAAAGGCCCACCCACCAAGTCCTGATTGACCTAAATAAGAGGTTTCCTGCCCACAGCTGATTTTTACCTAAATCCAGTAAATCCAATAAACTCATATGATTATGAATGAAATAAGAAACAACCAGTTTATATGTGACTTTCAACTAAAACAAGAGAACCTATCCACCAGAATCCAATTGCTTCACACCGGAGCCTCCAAACTGGAATACATACACATCTTTGTCAAACCAAATGAAAGTAGGGTGCAGACATTTTTGTGCTTTGCTTTTGTTTAGGTCAGCCTGCATCTGTCAAAAATCACATCTTTGCCACTTACATGAGAGTCACTTAGTATTGGCTGCTGTTGAGTTGATTCTTATTGGCGATACCCTCAGATGTTTTAGAACAGAACTATGTTCCATAGGGTTTTCAGTGACTAATTTTTCAGAAGTAGATTTCCAGGTCTTGTTCCACGGTGCTTCTAAGCGGACTTGAAATGTCCACATTTTTGGTTAACAACCAAGTGTTTAAAACCACAGAACTCTATTAACTCAATGATACCATGTAAATACACTCTGTGCACTTATTCCTGTACATATTCATCCTTGCCCTTACCTAGAATTCAGTCAAAGTTTATTCATTGTGTTTGACTATTGTATCCTTCAATATAGAACATTCTCATTGCCTGATTCTTCTCTAATAAGAGTGAATGTTTGCAAGAGTCTAAGCCATTTGTCCTGTGGAACATCCTCAAATTCTAGGCCCATCTGTTTTCCTTTATAATTAGATCCAGCATGAATAGCTTAGTGATATGTTTACTCCAGTTTGTCAGATTGATCATTTGATTAAAGTTGACTAGTAGGTATCTCCATTATAAAGGTATATAATACTTTCAGAATGAATTCAACTACTAAGTAATCTGAGGAGTGATACTTTGTGATGTTGTTGTTGTTGTTGTTATGTGCCGTCGAGTTGCTTGTGACTCATAGCGACCCTGTGTACAACAGCCCTAAACTCCGATCTGTCCTGTGCCAATCGCACTGTCTCTGACACTCCCATCCCGATTTCCCAGTCACTGAATCAATCCACCTCATAGAGGGCCTTCCTCTCCTGCGCTGTCCCTCCACCCTCCCAAGCATGATGTCCCTCTCTAAGAACCAGTCTCTCCTCACATGTCCAAAGTATGTTAGACGGAGCCTCAGAATCCTTGCCTCTAAGGACCCACCCGGTTTAACCCTTTCCAGGACAAATCTGTTTGTTTTCCTAGATAGTGTGGGTTATTTTGTTCTTCAACAGCTTTTAACCCAGGGGTTTTTAGAATACTTTTACCCTAAAATTAGTTATTACTTTGGAATTACAGAGAGTATATTTAATTGTTAGCTGTTATTCTTACGTAAAGAATAAACTTAACATTACATCTTTTTTCCTCTCTTTAATTTCTTTGATTTCACATCTTTGTGTTTAGAGAGAAGATTTCCATTAATTTTTAATTTATTAAGATTAGAAAACATTTGTAAGATACTGAAATCTGGGAGAAAAATCAGTACAGTACAGTCTCTCACTTCAGTATTTTTGTTTACTGTATAGTGGTAAAGACAGGATTTATGAGTCTAGTAACTGATACGCAGTACTATAAGCATTCTTAATCTTCAAATAATAAATCTTGGAACATTGAGAGAGATTTACTGTGGCTAAGGAATGGGAAGTCTTTAGGTAATGTTAAATTCCCACCGGAAAAGATAGAAAAGTTATAACCAAATCAGTGAAAGTAGAGTAATGCAGAAAAGAGGTAGTATTCTGATTATTAAGGTCAGAATTGACTCCATGGGAATGGATTTGGGTTATTGCTTTATATGACTTTTCCCTGTTTTGTTCATTTTTTCACTCAAATTTCCCCTTCCCCTCCAGTCTGAAACACCTGTCCTCATTCTCATCTTGCAGCTTCTTTTAGCCATTTGAAAACTTTAGTTTTGATTAGTTTCTATTTTTTTCCAAGTTCAACTTTATTTTAGGGGTAATTTTTGTTGTTAGCATGTGTCATCATAGCTTCCAGATCATCTCACCTCTACTTCTGTTCCTATAGAAACTTAGGAATCTATCAGACTATAGTGTGCGTGGAGTGAGTTAGTCACCAAGACAGTCTTCTAGTTAGTTGAGTGCCTACACTTGGGCCGTGTGTTTTGGGCCTGTGGCAACAGTACATAAGGACATTTTGTTTGTCTTTCTCAGCTGACTTAAGGTCTGTGTATACTATTTAATCAGTAATACCAAAAGGCACCCAATGAATATTCATTGGAAATAAGAGTTGCTTTATCTAAAACTAGAATTAATCTCCAGCACCCTCTACCTTACTTCAGAATTAAATAAATTAGGATGTCTTTCTTTTCAGAGCTTCAGTGAAGATGTTTTCCAGTCTGTGAAGTCTCTGTTACAGAGTGAGAAGGAATTATGCAGCGTATCAGCAGAGAACTGCTTGAAGCAGGATGAACATAACAGTATGACTGAGGTTTGACATTATGTTCTCAAACTCTTTCCTAATAACACACATGTCTTTTGGGTCTTTGAAGAACTGAATGGTTTATTTTTAAAACGCTTAAGAGCATATTAATATATGTATGAAAAGTACCTGTTAACATAATTGTTAACACCAGATAACATCATTTTCTTAATTCATAATAATGAACACATTTAATTCAGAGCATAAGTATTAACCACTTATTGGACACATAACACAGTATAAATTATTCTTGCTATAATCAGTAATTGATGCTTCAGTAATAAATACTTATGCTCTGAATTTGCTTTTTCACAATTTTGGTTATTTTTAATTTTCTTGGCATTTTAAGTTCACTGCTTTGATTTAAAGTGATTTGACAGGGATGAAGTTTTTTGAAATGAAGATACTCTTGAGACCGTTACTGAGTTTTGGGTAAGATAAACAAATTACTCATCTATTTGTCTTCTACATTAATGGTCTATACATCTTAAATTTAAAAAGATGATTAAAAATTTTTGTACAATATGTCTGTATCTATGAACATTAAAGAAGAGGCGAGTTACAATAGTGTAGTGCTAGAGCCTAGATTGGAAGTTAGTTGAAATGTGGAAAATCAATAACAAACATCGTTTAATAAATGGAACATGGAATGTGCATTGCTTGAATGTTGGAAAACTGGAAATTGTTAAAAATGAAATGGGACGCATGAACATTGACATACTAGACGTTAGTGAGATGAGATGAACCAGCTTTTGGTCACGTTGAATCAGATAATCATATGGTATGCTATGCAGGGAATGAAAAACAGAAGAATGCTGTTGCATTCATAATCAAAAAGCCAAATTCAACTTCTATCCTGAAATACAATGTTGTTAGTGATAGGATAATATCCATATACATACAAGGAAGACATGTTAACACAACTGTTGCTCAAATATATGCTCTTACATCTCGAGCCAAAAAGGAAGAAATTGAGAATTTTTACCAAATCTTGCAGTCTAACATTGACTGAACATGCACTCAAGATGCATTAATGTGCACACCATGTTTATT